GGTCGTCGCTCGGCCGGTTGGATAGAGCATACAAGAGCGAGTCCGGGCCGCCGGAGCGTATGGTGGAGACGGTGGTCTGGAAGAGATCGCCGCCGACGCTGAATTTGATTCGTTCTTCGGATAGGGTTCCGATGGCCGGCTGTAAAATTTCTTCCTCCATTAACGGAAGCCGCTGATCCCTAGTCAACAGGTTGAGGCCATCTGGTTGTTCGGTTAAGAATATTATGACGGAATTACCCCTTCTCGGTCTCTTAAACGTGTATTTTCTTATCCCGTGGCGTTGTAATTTCCATATGTGGAACGGAATCCGGGGAGCATTTCGGTAATTTCAGTGGGTGAAAAATGTTTCTCCCGGTTCAAGCACGTGAGGAGGATTCTAGGCCCAATGGGCCGAGCCCAAGTCTTTTTGGTTTATCGAGCCCATCCCCACCACATAAACACTTCAGGGAAATTATTGTAATTTACGAAATGATTTTTCTTTTAAAATGGCTAAAATATTTAATAATAATTGGAAAATATACCAACGGAATATTTAGATTTAATGAGATCAGCTATTAATAATAGTAAATTATTAGTTTATTAAACTCAAAATTTTAATGAATTAATTTCAAACTATTGACTAACTAATTTTAATCATCATCAAAGCATTGTTTGATATATTATCGTTAGAATTAATTCTTTACAATTTTGACTAAGTACTTGAAATAGTACTTAAAATAGTAAGTTATCAATCATATTTTATCATTTAAGCTATAAATTGAACTTGAAATAGTAAGTTTAATTCACATGCTTAGCTGTTTAACTGCCAACATGAGCTTAGCTTGATAGTAATTGACATATGTTTCTGATCAAAATGTCTTAATCTCTCATCTCATTTATTATATTAAAAAAAATGATATGCTCAGCTAATATAATATATTATTTTTACAATTGTATAAAAATATGATTGACTTCATTATTAAATTATTAAAAAGAAAATGAAACTACCACTCCAAAAAGAAAAAAGAAAAAAGTGTTGGAGAAGTCCAATTAAACTTTTTTTTAAAGTAAAACAAACATGCGGGTGAAGATTCAAACCCATGATTTTTTGGTCGGGCATACCTTACCAGATTGAGGCAGGACTAGGTTGGTTGTTTTTTAAAATTAAGCTTGTAAATACTACTTTCACCTATATACTTATTTATTTTGCATCATTTTCAAAATTTAAGCTAAAATTTGAAAATTAAAAAATGTAATTATCTCAAAACCCTATTTTTGTTTTTGAAATTTAGCTAAAAGTTCAATTATGTTCATAAGAAAAATGTTGAAACATACCAAAGAAATTGTGAACAAATAAATAAACATATCTTAACAAAACACGAAACAAAAATAAACCAGTTATAAAAAAGGGCCTAATTTATCTGTAAACATTTTCTTTCCCACTTTTGACAATATTTAATATGTAGGCCATACGGTTCATGTTCAAGTCATATTACGATATAATTTCTAAGCAATCTAACCGAGCACAACCGAGCCGCATTTACTTTTCGACGATCTAATTCCTAAATTTCTCATTGTAGTACAAATCATGTTAGCATCTCTCTCTCATTCCAACATACCATTATACCCTCCATATTCTAAAGCATCTAAATTAAAGCTCATTGTCGTGCACTTCAAAAGCCAAAAAACACTCATTAGTAGCAAGAAATTTGCCACTCTTTAGAATAGCAAACACTCCCAAAAGAAGGTTTTTTATATTATGGTGGGCAATCTTCCATTACATAAGTAACATGTTGACTAATATATGTAAAAGAGGAATCTCTCTCTCTCTTTAATTCCATGCACTTTGATTTCCAAACACACTCGATCACTATGAGTTCCCTCAATGTCTGCCACAAACCATCCAATCCCTTAGTGAATTTTACCCATTACCCACCAAAAACCAGGCAAACTCTAGTGGGTTTTCAACATATTGGAGCTCACCCACCTTTTTCTTTGAGCTCAAAAAAAGAGAGCATATATAGTTTTGAATTTTTAGAATTTGTGTTGAGCATGTTTTATTTTAATTTAAAAAAGAGAATTTTAGGTTTCTAAACTTTCAATTCTGTACTTAATATATGTTCCTCTGTTTTAACCAGTTAATGAGGCTTTTTAAATACAAAGTTGAAAGTTCAGGAATAACTTATTAGACACAAGATTAAAAAAAATTCAAAGACTTGTTAGACACATTTTAAAGTTCTAGAATTTATTAGACAAAATATTTTAAAAGTTCAGAGACAAATTTATAGTTTAGCCTAAAAAATAATAATCTAGCTCTAATTCTTGTTATTATTCAGTCACTTGATGTGTTTCCACTCGTGTCGAGTTAACGCATCATTGATGTCACTATATTTGTTTGCTAAATAATTAACATCAAAATTAAAGGTAACCAAAATAATTCTATTTCGAAAGTCTATGATCTAAAAGGAGACCAACTTAAAAAATTTAGAGACTAAAATAGATATTTGAAAAGTTTAAAAGAATGAAAATAAAAATGAAAATTCAAAGGGAGGAATATATAATATAATGATGGCACGGTCTGTTGTTATTTGTCGCCAAAAAGTGGAGACGGGAAGGGGAAGAAGGATTTGATTTAGAGATCTCATCTGGGCATTTCGTCGAACATCTTGTCTGTTCGTTCAGTGAAAAGGAGAAAAAGGAGAAGTGATTAGTCATCCACATAACAAACAAACCCAATTCTGTTCATCAGTTGCGACTTCCGAGCGGGCGCGCGGTCCATACCATACGCCTCTGCGTCTCAACTAAATTATCATCCATTCCCCTAAAGTGCTGTTGGCTGTGTTGTTATTTCGCTTTCTTTCTGCATTTTTTCCTTTTTCTTTTTTGGAATTTGGAAAGTAACATAATTGAATTATGTGAAAAAGAAATATATTGCTACGGATAAAATTCCAAGTAAATTATTCTCTTCAAAAATTTAGGTTAAAAAATACATTTTATCTCTGTACTTTCACTACACTAACAATTTAGTCCTTGAATTTCAGTTTGTAACGATTTAGTTCCTGTACTTTCTCTAAAGTAATAATTTAGTCCCTGAACTTTAACTTGTATCGATTTAGTCCATGTAGTTTAATATTTGTAACAATTTAGTTCCTATCGTAAAAAATTTTACTAAATTTAAGTGTCAAATTTTATCATATAACAATTTAATCATTCTAATTCATAAACATATTTGGTACCTCTTTAATTTATCAATCTATACATACAAGAAACTTGACAAAAAAAAAAAAACAATAAGGACTAAATCGTTAACAACTTTAAATTACAAAGATTAAATTGTTACATATTAAAGTTCAAGAACTAAATTGTTACCAATTTAAAAGTATAGGGCCTAAATCGTTACAAACTAAAATTTAGGGACTAAATTGTTATTTTAGCAAAAGTACATGACCAAAAACTTATATGTCAAAATTTGCTATTTTGAAACTTAAGAATTAAAGAAAATTTATTTGTGAAATCTCATAAACTAATATGATATCTATTCTATAAAAGTTATAAATTCAACACAATATTCACTTATCATAAACAAGATGAATGGACTCAAATCAGATTTTTCTTAAAATATTACTTATATATTTTGATACCTAATTTATTTGTATTGTTCTACTTAATTCAATATTATTGAACAAATAGGTAGACTCCACTTTTTAGCCACTAAAAATAAATCACATCATAGAGTAAAAGGAGTTTCTACTCACTAGTAAGTAGACATGCTTTGTTCAAGAAATTTTTTTTTTAACCTTCCAAAATAGTTAAATTTCTTTATAAATAAAATTGAAAGGCAGTAGCCACAAGGGCATGGGTTGAGGTGGACATGCCACGTGGAGAAATAGTAGGGTGCTTACGTGGCAGAAGAATGTGCGACAAGGAAGGGGGTTGGCTTTGTTGGGCAGCTGTGTTTTTGGCCTAGTAGGAGTAGAAGCACGTGACAAGCACGAGGGCCCCTCAATTAGAATGTTTGTCTCCGAATCCCTCCAAAATAAATTTTGATTCATCCATCTATCCAACTTCTGCTCTCTTGCCCATCCCACATTAATCACTTCAACTCATTCAATCGCCATTAAATGCTTCGACAAGATGGAGACTTTGTGTCCCCAAAATACCCCTCTCTTCCACTTTGAAGAATTACATTATGTGTAAGCCCTTCTAGTTATAGTGGTAATTTCTTTGGTTTGAGGAGGGTGGGCTTGTAATTTCAGCCTAGGAATGTATTGGCTATGGGACCTAGTGTGGAGGGTGTGGGTATCCCTCACAGCTAAGAGATAATACAAAAAAAAGGGGAGAATTTTGATAGATTTTTTCAATTAGATAAGTAATATCTTGACTAGTTTAGACAGGTTCATGTACTATGAGTCTTATTATATATATATTTTTTCAGTTCAACGAGGGATTAGAACATTTGACGGCTTTTTTGGAAGGTAAGTAATTGACCAATTAAGATACGTACTATGTCGGTAACCTTAATATATACTTAATTATTCTTGCTATTCTCAACTACTTTCTAGTTAAAAGACTTCATAAATTTGTCGCACTATTATAAACTAGATGGAGCTTTAACAAAAATGTAGGCGTTATGTATAAAAGCAGCCTTATTCATGTATGATGTAATTTGCAATAATTTTAGCATTTAGCTCCAAAATGGTGTCATCGTCTTGTATAATCAATGTGGAACCCATTGAATTTTCAGCCCTAGTTATGGAAATGGGTCCTCCCAATCTCTACTTATTCTACATCAACAATTGACCATTCTTGTAAAAATGGCCTCACTTCCATTTGACCACAAACCTCCATAAATGGGGCTAGCTATAGGGTTCCAATTCCACAAACCAACCAATGGAGCTAGCTCCACCCCACTCTTTTTTCGAACATATTTAGTTCATGAGTTTTAATTTACCATATTTTGAAGGCTGAATTTATGTAATATGCATTCATATTTATATAAGGTAGTGATTTTGTTTTTTAAAAAAAGACATCACACAATTTATTTAAAAAGTATGTGAGAAAGCATATACTAGATAAAAGTACTCTAGTTAAGAGATGGAGAGAATGTCGTAATTACCAAAAAAAAAGAAAAAAGGTGGATTTGAATGTCGAAGAAAAAGGAGTAATTTAAGATAGTTGTTGTTCATATATGCATTGGATAAAAGACTGTTGTTTCTCTCCAATTAAATTAACCAAATAATGGAGCAGAATCCATTGCACCAAAGAATATTCTTACCTTCTCAAATGGAAGAATTGAGATCTTTGCCGGGAGAATTTTTAAATTTTTATCATTTCGTGTTTAGTCTGAAGTTAATTTACGGGAGGTTAATATAAAAGGCTAAGAAATGACCTTTGGAGCAATAATTTGAATGGGAAACTAGGGGCAGATTCCAAACCCTAAAGAACAATCAGCCACACAATATTATAACATTATTATTAATTTGAAAACCATACAAATTCCTAACT